TTATTTTTTCTGACTCAGACCTATAATCTAATTGCTAAAACTCATAATCATTTATTATGGCAATTGGAGATTAAAATGAATGAAAAGTTTTTACATTATTAAGAAATGAATTAAAGTTTAAAAATGTAAATTCATTTATAAATATGGTTTTACTTAAACTAACTTTAATATATTCTTAGAATGGCTATTAATTATGACATTAAGATTCTCCTTGATAGAATTAATTTATATTTTAATTAGTTTATCATATGAATAATCTTGTTTATTTTAGTTTTTTGTTTTTGTTTAATATTTAAATATCTATTTTTAAACTAATAATTAGTGTAAATATTTTTCAAAGTAAATAAAGACGTCACCAGGTTTTTAATTTAAAATTGGAGTATTTCATAAATTAAAGATTAGATATTGTAGCTATATTACTTTTGATACAAATAAAATTATATCCTGATAAATAAATTATAATATTTTTAATATTTTATAATTATTTAATTAATGATTAGCATTTCCAATTCAGAATTGAATCCCTGACAACTATATCTATTAAAAACTGATAAACTGATTATTAAAAATAAATAAGAAGAGGGATTAACATTTACATTTATTCAAGAAAAGAGCAAGCCAATGAAATTAGAAGAATAATTTAAGTTTGATTGCAAAGTTGGAAATCATTATTTAATTTGTGAAAAACTTAATCTAAAGGCTGAAGTTTATGTTTTTAACACCTAATATGATAGAGAAAAATATTAAGTCTAGGAAGAAGAATTCAATGCTACAAAATCAGAATAATAATATGATAGTGAAGATATTTCTAATGAAAATGACGAAATTTTGAGTGAAGAAATAGGAATTTTACCTTAAAGAAAGAAGAAACTATTAAAATGGTCAACTCCTGAAACATCCTCCACTCCACTCATTATTCGAAGATAGAAAATTAATCGACTACTTATGATATGAGTGAATAGTTATTACCAGATAAAGTAAGGGCTCTGATCCTGTAATATACTCATTTAAATACATGCTTAAATAGAATATGACATATAATATTCTTACTTTTTATTAAGACTTGAAAATGATACCATATTTTAATTGAAAATACAAAATTATAGATATAAGAGTAATATTCATGAGTATAGAATTCTAGTGATTAATTATGAATAAACATTAAAAATTAAAATAAAATAAAATTAACTTTATTTCTTCAAAGATTATGATAAGTTTGAGTGAGTGCTGTGCCGATAGAGTGGAAATCCAATTGAATAAAGATGACCAAAAAAATAATAATAAGAAGCATCATTATGACAGTAGATTTATAAGATTTTATATGGAAAATGTTTGATTATTCATTTAATTGAACCATGAAATAAAACAAATCCTCAGGATTTGAACATTTATATTAAAATAGTTATTATTTTTATTAACATAGTTTGTAAACTTTACAGAATAATTGAATACTATGAATGATAGGTAGATATGGCTTAATTTTATCAAAATATACAAAAAGAAGTTTTAAGTAATAATAGAATTACAATATCAAAAGTTTAAATTAATAGAAGTTAGATTATTATGAAAATTAAAAAACTGAATATAGGGTTAGATTTTGATGAAGGAAATGATTGGAGTATCAATTTGTTTTGGAAATACGAGGTATAATCAACATAACGATCTTAGTCTTGAAAATTGTACAAAGAATACAATCAGAATACTTAGATCTGTAGAAAGATCAGATATATATTGATAAAAATTATAATAGAATTAAACAATACCAGTATTAAAGCTAAGGAATTTGATCATCCTTCACTTCAAGATCGCATCAACAAATAACAAATTAAGATGTTGCATTATTTTATGCACTTCTTCCTGAACTTTATATAACCAAACCGCTCTTTGTTACTGTCGATTGTGATTCAAAATTATTTTATGAGAACAGTTGTTGACAAACTTGGTGTTCTTGGATTTGAATCTATATTCGAATTTTGTAGAAAGGTAAATATAATGAGTTTTGAAATCATATGGTGGCGCTCATAAAATAAGCAGTCAATAATTCAAAGATTGAATGATTTTGCTATTATTTTATGCAATATATAAAAATACTTATTGAATTCATTTTCAGAAAAATTATCAGCAGAAAATTATAATTTTAATACTCTTTGGACTTTTAATATCAAAATATCAATCATAAATATATCATAATCTTCAAGAACAAAGTATTTGTTTTTTAATCAAACTAATATATTGAGTTTATAACTATAAAATGTGTAATTGATAATAGAAAATAATAGAGCAAACAATAATTAAAATTTATTAATTTTTAAGTCGACATAATTTTGAAATAGAATAACTAATGAGCATACTTATTCTATTCTCTGAAGAATATTGTTTATTGAAAATACAGCTAAAAGAAAAAGAGAATTAATGCTGAATGATTGAAACGAAAAATTTGGATTCAAAAGCTAAATTTAATTAAATTAGACATACAAATTTAAATAAAAGTATTTTAGAACTACAAAAAAACACATAATAAACTGATAATGAAATCAGATATTAAAAAATCATTATTTTATTATTTTATTTATAGATAACTTACAATTTAAATTTACAAAATATATAATTTAGATCAAATAGTATAATTAATAATTAAATGTAATAAGAAAAAAAATTGCACTTATAAATGATTATTAAAATTTTAGAAAGTATAAAATAACTTCCAACTTTATATTGTA